TGTTCTGGCCTCCAGCCCTTACAAGAGGAGGACAAAACCAAAAATCCACAAAGATAGGGGAGACATTATTAAAGGACCTCATATACATACGACGAGTCTTTATATGCCAGAAGGCTAGAGGTTCAAACCCACCAGCCACTCCTTGCAAGGCAGACTGGACAATCTACTTCTGTACAGATACTGCCTCAGAACCCCAAAGAGGGGTTGTTATGAGTAGGAATAGACTCAACAGGGGTGAGTTTGGCTGGTTTTTTGTTTTCATGGTGTAGCGGTTAAGGCACTTGGCTGCTAATCAAAAAAGTCAGGGGTTCAAACCCACCAGCTGTTCCATGGAAGAAAGATGAGGCAGTCAGCTTCTGTAAAAATTTATAGCCTTGGAAACCCAATGGGGGTCACTATGGGTTGGAGTTGACTCGATGGTAGTGAATTTGGTTTTCAGTCTATAGGCACAGAGGCAAGAAATATCCTCCTTTAAAGATAGGAAGGGGCGATGGAAAAGTTTTTTGTTAAAGTTAGTGTAAAGTGAGAGTCAGCCAAAAAAGCTTTAATTGGGAGATAATTAAGGCCAAAGGCAAAAGAGAGAGACCCATTTGTAGATCTATTTGCCATTTAATAATTTAAAAAGGAATTGTCTGAAGAGACCATTACGTCTCTCAATTAAACTATGATGATTGGAACCAATCAGGGATATGAAGGTTTCATTGAATGCCTTTTCCAAGAACCCAGCATTGTGTATTCTGAGAAGTGAAATGTATGCCTTGCTCACTGTCACTAATGTCTAGAACACCAAAAGAGAGTGTCTTGGAGAGGCCTTGTATTATGTGACCTTGACTTGTAATTTGGGCATTTGTCAGGCAAGAGATTTCCAGAATTCTTTACCCTCAGGGGAACAAATCCTGGGTCCTGGGTCATGAGCTTATAAAAACGTGCAGATGGGGCCATTTGGTATCCAGGGCATCCAGTGCTAAGGTGAATGCCTAGTGTTTACCCGGTTGTGCTTGCTGCTGGGTAAAACCCAGGCTCTGCTTGATGTGACGTGTTGTAGCCAATAAATATAAGACCAAAGTGAGAGAACAGAAAGGCATTTTTATTTCTTTGGCCAAGGAAGGGAACAACCAGGAATAGTGCCACCAAGATTGCTCCAAAGAAACCTCCTGCGATCTTCTCTTATACATAGTTTTCAAAACAGGAAGTCATTCAAAATCATGGGTATGCATGCTTGTACATTCTACACAGGGATGGGTACAATTACATACTTCTCCATACATTACCTGTATAGAAAAGGCAGCTAAACACCACCCAGAGGCAGAGAGGTTAATATTCATGAGGCACCTGATGACCTCAAGGTCACCTAGGATATTAAGATGGCTGCCAAACCAACTCAGGCTGGTTTGGCTAGCCTGGGGATATCAGAGTAAATGGGATAACAGGAGAGGGGTTGGCTCACTTAGATGTCCTGCTTATCTTGTAAGGCCAGTGTGCTCTGTCTTATGCTGACCCTTGGCTCCCATCCTTATCAGAGTCATACTGATTAAGAGATAGAAAGTACTAAGAATCTGCTGAGCCCCATCATTTATGATGGGGGCAGCTACATACATACAGTCTGCAGACTCCTATTACTATTCACTGAGTTAATCCCAAGGGGGATCCCCAGGTAGCCAAGGGACCTGAGGGGAGGGGTGACCTCCTCCAGCACCTTACCATCTGGCAAGGGACTGAGGACAAGGAAGCCCACCCCTCCCTGCAGGTGGAATATGCCAAAGAGCCCAGGTTTGGGTGCTGTTTCCACAATCCAAGGCATAATGGGCAGGTGGATACAGAGGGTTACAAGCTTAGGGTCTATGAAGGCCTCTATTTGCTACAGACAATTACTGCCAGAGGGTCCCTCCTGCTATGACTGCCATGTCCATAAGGAGAACACCAAGGCAAGGAGTTTCAAGTGCCTTTATTGTAGGCACACAAGCAAGGAACTTGGAGGACTCTGCTATACACAAAGTTGTCTGAATAGTGGGCAGCTTTGGTTTTACATAATTATGAACAAGGAAATACATACAAAGAACAGAGATTATATAGGCTAACATTGTGTGAAGGCACATGAAGCTGATGACGTTGATCTGTTCACAAAATGTCGATTAAGCTCCACTCTAGGCGTGATTCTTACCATGATACTGAGATGTTTTGGTGAACTTTAGGTGTCTGGATACTCTGGTAGGACCAGCAGAGGTCTTAGCTGGTTTAAACTACTTTTGAACCAGGAACTTAGTTTTAAGTTCAGATATTCCTGGGAAGAACAGGACATTCTCCTTAGAGATTTGGTCATCTGCCAGAAATAGTATAGTGGAGCCAGGCTCTCTATCATACTCCCAACAAAACCCAGTGTATAGTCAATGATTGCCCCTCTAATGAGGTGTAGCTTACACCCAAAAAAGGCAGTTTTTTTCATCAAAAACCTATGAGCAACTTAAGGTCATCATAGGTGGTCCAGAGACTCAGGAGGTATAAGAGGAAGTTGCTAAAAATCAACAGTGAAGGAGTCTCTGAATACAAGCCAGAGTTGACTTTAATTTGGAAAGATTATAGAGCCTTTTGCTGAAGAGGCCACATTCAAGGTGGGCCTCTTTGTAAACAGCAGCATCAGTGAGATTAAGTAAAAGTCATAAATGAGGAATATGTTGCTTTCAGAACCTAAAAAGGACTCTTATGTCATTAATTAGTGTGTTAAACAAATTTCCTCTGAGGAGGATATTTCCAGTGTAATATCTTACCTGTGTCCCTGAAGGAAGGTGTTATGCCATTAAGATCTTGCCTACAAAGAAAGTATTTTAAATGTTTCCAGGATTTGGTTTATCAGGTATAACAAGACACACAGACTTGGACACAATTGTCATGAAAGAAGATTATTATACTCACCATAGTTAGTTCCTGTGCCGTTAATTTTGACTCATGGCAACCTCATGTCGGCAGAATACAACTGTTCCATACCGTTTTCAAGGATATGAACTTTCAGAAGCACATCGCCAACCCTGTCCTCCCAGGCATTTCTGAGAGGGTTTGAACTGCCAACCTTTCAGCTGATACTTGAACACTTAACCACCCAAGGACTCTATTATGCTCAAGAGTTCCCAACACATGAGAAACACAGCAATATCATACAAAGCTACATGAGGAAACACTGAGGTGAATACTGGAATAGGGAGAGAGAAACTATGGGCCAAAGCCTTTATTGTGGGTCACATGAAATGGGAAACAAAGGAAGGGAAATTTCTCAGTTGATGGGGAGAGAATACTTAAATATGGTTAGCTATTTTCCCTTGCCAGCCAGTGATTTTAGTGGCCTGGTAGAAATCCAGCAAAACAGGGAGAAGCAGTTCTCTCTCAGGTTAAGAGAGGAAGAGCATTAAACATAGAATAAATAAATAAATGGTGGTAATATTCCATCACTCTTACACATTCTGCTGGTCACTCTGGTAGGAAGCCTGTAAAATGACTCCTAGTGATATTCGCCTCCTGGTATCATGCCCTTGTGTAATCCTCTCCCATGAATGTGGGCTTGATTTTTCATTAGTTTCTAATGAGCAGAATAGGAGCTTTGGTGGCACAGTGCCTAAGGTATTTGACTGCTAACCAGAAGGCTGGCGGTTCAAAGCCACCAGCCACTCCTCAGAAGGAAGGCTGGGCAATCTATTTCTGTAGTGATACTGCCTCGGAAAACCAAGGTCGGGTCACTATGAGTCGGATCTGACTCAACAAGTTTGGGTTTTTTTTTTTTTTTTTTTTTGAAATAAGTAGAATGTAGCAGAAATGGTCAGATGTCACTACTGGGACTAAGTTTCAAAAGAACTATATCCTTCTTCTTGGGTCTCTCTTGCTCTCTCCCTTACTTTTCAGCCACCATTTTGTGAACTGTCCTATGGAGAGGCCTATGTGGCAAGGGACTGGATTTTGGTCTCATTCCTCATGAAAAGCTAATCAAAGCAAAGGGAGATATGATTTGGAGAGAAATTGTGTGGACAGAAGAAGTAACAAGGAAAAGAGTTTGAAATGAGTCATATCCTATGTGTAACATATCTGTGCACCTTCACCTTCCTGGTGACAGTGGTAGGCACGACTTAATCTGTTACTTTTGACACATTATCAGGAGACACCAAACGCTGGAGAAGGACATCATGCTTGGTAGAGGGTAAGTGAAAAACAGAAGGATCTTCAGTGAGATGGATTGGCAGAGTGGCTGCAACAACCTCAAACATACCTACTATTTTGAGGATTGTACAGGATCAGGCAGTGTTTTGTTCTTTGATTCATGGGGGAGCTATGAATCATAGCTAGTTTGATGACACCAAACAGAAAATCAAAAACAATCCCACATAATTAACTTCCTACAAGACAATGTGACTGCATCTAGTCTAAAACATATTAAAGCCACAGAACAATGACAAATGAGTATCCATAGAATATTCCAAATAACCACAAAAATATACTTAAATAGTACATAAATTTCAATCTTAAAACAGGCCAAACAGCTACTTCACATTTTACCTCTACACAAATATAAAGCTCAATCATGGAGGACATTTGTCAAATATTAAAATGAATTTGGTTGAGGTTGTTGTAAGGGCAAGGCCTGCAAATGTAACAGTTAACGAATGTTGAACACAGTAACATACAGGTGAGTGAGGCTCTGAAATAATTGGTAAGAGCCAGGTTATTTACAATTCATTTTTAAGTAATATTTATCTGAGCTGACGTAAACATAAGATCAAGCACACCAAACCAAAATACTTAACGTTAAAACCAAAAAAAAAATCCCAAATATGCAAAACACTTAAGAGTTTAAGTCAGTTTTAAGATTAAAAAAAAAAAAAAAAAACTAAACACGTTTGCTATCTAAAAGTTGTTGCAACAAATGCTAGTTATTGAGAAACACTGTTACAACTCTTTACATGAAAAAGGTAGTGGCTCTGAAAAGAGCCTTTGGGTTGATTATTAAACAAAAGGACGGCTCACTTTGAGCTGGTGTACTTGGTGACCGCCTTGGTGCCTTCGGACACGGCGTGCTTGGCCAACTCCCCAGGCAGCAGCAGGCGGACAGCAGTCTGGATCTCCCTGGAAGTGATCGTAGAGCGCTTGTTATAATGAGCCAGGCGAGATGCCTCACCTGCGATGCGTTCGAAGATGTCGTTGACGAACGAGTTCATGATTCCCATGGCCTTGGATGAAATACCGGTGTCGGGGTGAACCTGCTTCAACACTTTGTACACATACACAGAGTAGCTCTCCTTCCGGCTGCGCTTGCGCTTTTTGCCATCCTTCTTCTGTGCCTTGGTTACCGCCTTCTTAGAACCCTTCTTCGGGGCTGGAGCAGACTTAGCCGGCTCAGGCATCACTAAAAAGAACAACCTCTGGGGATAAAAAAAAAAAAAATGAATTTTAAATGAGTGCGTCGATTTACTTTCTGGTATTTTATAGATCTTCTATGCAAATCAAGGCTTGAAGGATATTCGGATCTGATTTGGTAATATGTTAGTAGACCTACAATATGTAAATTTGATTGCAAAGCATCTCCTTTCTCATTGGTTGGCTGCTCATAAGATGATTTTAACCAATCCAACCTCGCCTTCTACAAGTCCACCCAGCATTATAACAGGCTTCTTATTGCTCCTTTCCAGACATTGCATTTGTGCTTTTCCCCCTGCGCGTGCGTTCCTTACCGCTACGGTATCAACATGTCTGGACGTGGAAAGCAGGGTGGCAAGGCTCGCGCCAAGGCCAAGACTCGATCCTCCCGCGCTGGGCTCCAGTTCCCAGTTGGCCGTGTGCACCGCCTGCTCCGCAAGGGGAACTACTCGGAAAGGGTAGGGGCTGGCGCTCCCGTGTACCTGGCGGCGGTGCTGGAGTACCTAACGGCGGAAATCCTGGAGTTGGCTGGCAACGCGGCCCGCGACAACAAGAAGACGCGCATCATCCCGCGCCACCTGCAGCTGGCCATCCGCAACGACGAGGAGCTCAACAAGCTGCTGGGCCGCGTGACCATCGCGCAGGGCGGCGTCCTGCCCAACATCCAGGCGGTGTTGCTTCCCAAGAAAACCGAGAGCCACCACAAGGCCAAGGGCAAGTAGAACCTATTCCGGCCATCCGTGAACAACTGTGAAATCAAAGGCTCTTTTCAGAGCCACCCACATTTTCTGAAAGGTGCTGAAATACACTTGAAAAGTCCAAGACGTATTTTTCATAGTACTAAATTCTGCAAAGATATTTATTCCTTCATGGCCACGTTAGCCAATCACAAAGTTTTACATTAGAAAGTGTTTGCCCCTTCCCTTGGCCCAGTTAGGTCAGTTCATCTTTAGCTGTTGCTCACATTAAGCGAATGCTTTTCGAAAGTTCAGCGAAACAATTCATGGCGTCCAGTTTTACTGAAGCAAACAATAAAAATGTTTATAAATGCACTGAAATCGCCAGAGTTGGTAAGGAAGGACTTGCAATTCTGTGAGCATAAAAAAGGGCTGTAGATTATGTGACTAGTACTAAAGCGACATTGTTTTGTGTATGTTTATGCACATGTACTTACGGATAATTACGTGTCCGAAAAGTGAAATAGAGAACAAAGAATAATAATTAACCAATCACATTTCAGGACGGGCCTCTTAAATTTGGGGATGACGGCATTTCTACCAATAGGGTTTAGTTTTGGTTTTTGTCTTTTTTTTTTTTTTTTAAAAAAAAAGGCAAGCTTAAATGAAATCAAGCTTAAATGCAACCTCACTTTTATGGCCTAAATTTAAAAGTGAACTAACCTCGAAAGAAAATTTCATTTTATATTCAAGCTTTCATGGAAATCCAGTCACCTTTCTCTAGAAAGCATTAGAACCAATTAGATTCCAGCGCGGGACGTATGAAAGGTACGGATCTGTCCCTATAAATAAGGTCAGAAACTGTACCGTACTACTTCCCAACCGACGACCTCCACGTTGTTGTCCACATGGCTCGAACAAAGCAGACAGCGCGCAAGTCGACCGGCGGCAAGGCGCCGCGCAAGCAACTGGCCACTAAGGCTGCCCGCAAGAGCGCTCCGGCCACTGGCGGCGTCAAGAAGCCCCACCGCTACCGGCCTGGCACCGTGGCGCTGCGCGAGATTCGGCGCTACCAGAAGTCCACCGAGCTCTTGATCCGCAAGCTGCCGTTCCAGAGATTGGTTCGCGAGATCGCGCAGGACTTCAAGACAGACCTTCGTTTCCAGAGCTCCGCTGTTATGGCGCTGCAGGAGGCTTGTGAGGCATACTTGGTGGGGCTCTTTGAGGACACCAACCTATGCGCCATCCATGCCAAGCGTGTCACCATTATGCCCAAGGACATCCAGTTGGCCCGCCGCATTCGCGGGGAGAGGGCTTAAACTAAGGCTATTACCTCTGAGTTGAAAAAGGCTCTTTTCAGAGCCACCCATTTCGTCAACAGAAGGTGGTGTAATACATTCACTAATTTTACCTACCTTGGTGGGAAAACTTTTCCAGTATTTAAAAAAGAAAGAACTATAAGTAAGTACATGAGTTTTTCGAACATGGAATCTTTTTTAAAGAAACCACTAATTACAGAGATCGATTTTTTTTGTTTAATATATCCATTAGTTATCACCAAATGTTCTCAACTCTTAGGTTTATTGTGTGCCTTCAAATTGATTCTGACTCCGCCCCTTTAGGACACAGTAGAAAGTTTCTTTCCTAGGCTGTAATTTTTACCACAGCAACATGGAATCTGGTAAATCTTTGTAAATCAAAATAAACGGATTATGGACTGGTGTGTAATATTTCATTACTTAATTTCAGAAAGTCGCTTCACTTATCAAAGTTTCCTTAATTCTTTTTTTCAAAAAATTACTGTTTTTTGTGAAAGTTTACACTGCAATTAGGTTCCCATTTAACAGTTTCTATACATATTTCATTGGTTAAGTTTTTCAAAAATGTGTCAGCATTCTCAGTATTTCCATTCTGCATGTTCTTCCATTAACCTAGATTTCCCTCCCCACTTGACCTTGTCTTTGCTTTAGGGTAAACATTGACTGTTTGGTCTCATATAGATGATTATTTAAAGGGGCACATTACTCAGATGATACTGTTTATTTTATGAGCCAGTCTATTTAGCTGAAAGGTGACCTCTGGGAGTGGCTTCAGTTCCCAAATTTAAACAGTATCTTAGGGCAATAGTCTCAGGGGTTCCTCTAGTCTGTATCGGTCCAGTAAGTCTGGCCTTTCTTAGGAATTTGAGTTTTGTTCTACATTTTTCTCCCAGTCTATTTGACACCATCTAGTGCCTAAAGCATTTGACTGCTAACCAGAAGGCTGGTGGTTCAGACCCAACAGCCACCTCTCAGAAGGAAGATTGGGCAATCTATTTCTGTAGTGATATGGCCTCAGGAACCCAAGGAGGGGTCGCTATGAGTCGGATCTGACTCGAGGGGAGTTAGTTTGGTTTCTGGTTTTGGTATTTTGTCCCTGGTCAAAACTGTCAGTACTGGTAGCCCGGCACCATCTAGTTCTGGTCTCAGAATAGATGAGACTGTGGTTCCTGTGGGCTATTAATCCTGTAGTGTAGTTTCTTCCTTAAATCTTTGGTTTCTTTCTTTTTTGCTCCCAGTGACTACAGACCAATAATTGTATCTTAAATGACTGCTCACAAGCTTTTAAAACCCCAGGTGCTACTTACCAAACTAGAATACAAAACAAAGTTTATGAACTATGTTATACCAATTGACTGAGTTGTCATAAGAAACTATGTTCATAAGCCTTTAAACCATTCCTAGAAGTATTTGGCAGAGCTCTGGTGGCATGGTGCCTAAGGCATTTGACTGCTAACCAGAAGACTGGCAGTTTAAACCCACCAGCCACTCCTTGGAAGGAAGATTGGGCAATCTACTTCTGTAGTGATACAGAAACTCTCGGAAACCCAAGGAGGGGTCACTTTGAGTTACATATGCTCACATGGGCCTTCCTATACACATATATGCAAATATATCTACCTATGTAACTGCACATGTTTTCTGGTTATTATTACAATTCTTGAAGTTTGGAGTCATGGCAAAGGAAGCCAGATGAGATTAATAGATTTATAATAAACCTTTGCACCACTGAATATATTCAATAGCCCAATAACAGAACAGATTTTTTTCTCTGAAGGATTAATTGTCTTGCTTTGTAACCCTGTGGCATTTCAGTGGCAACAGTTTGCAGTTGGCTGGGAAAGGTCAGCAGGTCGAACCCACCCAGTGGTGCCAGGGAGAAAGGCCTAGCGATCTGTTTCTGTGACAGATTATAGCCATAATGGAACAGTTTACTCTGTAACACACGGGTGAGAATCAACTCCACGGCAACGGGTTTGAGTTTTATCCAAACTTACCGTCCTTATCAATGTTAAATTCAAAATTATAAAAACAAGCCTCATGTAATGAAATGTCTCAAATGTTTAATTCATCAGAAGAGAACCAGCAGGAAGGTATAAACTGGTTCAAAAATGTATTAGACATACAAAGAATATATAGTTTAGAAAAGAAATAAGATTGAACTAAGATGACAAGGGCAAATTTAGACCGACAAGGATAAATGTACTATGAGGCAATTATATCATCATCTTTCAGTTATCTTTTTTAATGAATAGAGATAATTTTCATCTCTAATGGATAAAACTCATTGCAGTTTTATGAATATCATACAAGCTAACATCTGACTTCACAAATGCTGGGCCCTAAAAAATAAAACAGAAGAACATTTCCTAGAATATTTAAAAAAAAACTTGGGCAGGCTTGTGGGACCATGTTGTCATATGACATATAACATGCAGTTATCCTTAATTATCAGTTTTGTTTATATCTTAACAGGTTTGAGAGTTGTCGTTTTATGATCATAGTCCTTCTCTTGATATCTTCAGTAACACCATGTCTGATGAACAATCTCCGTTCCTGTCAGCACTTTCTACTTTTTCATCCCGTGCTTGTAAGTGATGACTTGCCATGACTTTCAGGGTCTAGTGTTCAATATCCCAGGCCTATAGAGGAAGGCAAGGAGCCTTGTGGGAGCAATGGTTAAAGTGCTTGATCTCTAACTAACAGGTTGGTGAAGAAAAGACCTGGAGATCTACTCCAGTAAAGATACAGCTTTGGAAGCCCTATGGTGTCCCTTTGGAATTGAAATTGACTCAATGACACACAAAAACAAAGAATGCTAAAGGACCTTCTCCTCTCCTGGCCCTTCTTTTCTCCCAACCAAGACACACCTAATATCCTGTGTACTTGTTGACCTTCTATTTTCAAAAACGTAAGATCATGATTAAGCAAATGTAGTATATGCTCATGTCAACGAGTTTAACTTATCAATAAAGAGACATCAGGTACAATGTTACTATATTTCAAAGTGCAAATTAGAAGCAGGTATTTATAGACAATGTAACAAAGAAATGTGAGAATACAATTGCTGAATTAAATTAAAACAAAATTAAGGCCCAAGAGGCTGTAAATCTTTAGAATTTTCTCTCTTCCATTGTCAGAAATCATGTTTCTCTAGACAAAAACCTACATGTTCACAAATAACTTCATTAAGTCTGATACCTTTCATCCAGAATTAACAGTGCAATGAACAAAGTACATTAACCTACACTCTTTGAGTGACCTTTCTTCCTTTATAATACTGGTTTTTATGGCCATTTTTTCTTAGTAGGAAAAAATGAAAATATAGCACCTAAAACATAAATTTCTAAGAAACTTCACAGTGTAACTGCTTGACATCTTTATTGTGTTCATTAATCAAATAATTGACAGTTTAACTTTTAACTCTTTCTTATTTCCTCATCTCAGCATTTATTAGGCTCTACCTGGCTTCCATCTGTATGCTGAGCAAATAATTCAAGAATCTGGACTATATGAAGAAGAATGCAATGTCAGGATTGGAGGAAGAACCATTTACAACCTGTGATACACAGATGACACAAGCTTGAAGCACTGATGAAGATCAAAGTTGACGGCCTTCGGTATGGATTACACATCAAAATAAAGAAAACAAAAATGGGTCAATAAGCAACCTCATGATAAATGAAGAAAAGATTGAAGTTGTCAAAGATTTCATTTTACTTGGATCCACAATCAACGCCCACGGATGCAGCAGGCAAGAAATTAAATGACATATTCCATTGTGCAAATGAGCTACAAAAGACCTCCTTAAACTTTTCAAAAGCAGAGATGTCACATTGAGGACTAAGGTACACTTGACCTAAGCCATGTGCATGCAAAAAGTGGATAATGAATTCAGGAAGACTAAAGAAGAGTTTATGCATTTGAATTATGGTGCCGGCGAAGAATATTGAATATACCATGGACTGCCAGAAGAACAAATAAATCTATCCTGGCAGAAATACAGCCAGAATGCTTTGTAGAAGTGAGGATGGTGAGACTCCGTCAGGACATGTTTACAGGAGAGATCAGGGCCTGGACAACATCATGCTTGGTAAAGTAGAGCATCAGCGAAAAAGAGGAAGACCCTCAAGAAAATGAATTGACTGAGTGGCTGCAATAACGGACTCACATAGCAATGATTGTGCGGATGGCACAGGACCAAGCTGTGTTTCATTCTATTTTGCATGGGGTCACTATGAGTTGGAATTGACTTGTTGGCACCTAAAAACAACCACCTAGCTCCCAAGAATACTAAATTATCTTCCACTCAGGTTTTATTTGTTTGATCCATATAATGCCTGTATGCCATATATCTCACAATGTTTTGCTTATTATTTTATTAACCATCAGAATGTAAGTTCTTTTGTACAAAAATTTACCTTTGGGGACACTAATTGCTTTAAGACTCAGTTTTGGCTTTTCTCCATTAAAAAAAAAAAAAAATGCACTTTGGGACAAAATATTACCATAGAATTTGAGGTAGTCTCTACTTCCTGATTGGTCTGCCATTGAAGGATTCCAACACCAATGACTTTTTTATTCATCCATCTTTTCCTATCTTGTTTAGTAACAATACTAATGATTCATTTAACAAAGCTCTTCTAGTTTTCTAACATGATTTTTTTTTAAGATGATTCTTTGAAATACATTGACTATCCTCTTTATGTCAATGCCCATGCTATTAAAGTTTGGGAAAATTAAATAAAAATAAAAATGCAGAGAGGGAAAAGCAGAATCCTGGAGCTATGCTGTGTTAGTTAGTATCAAATTTTACTTGAACTCTGTGATATTGGGAAACAGCAATGACTAAAGAAATCTTCTCACCTTTTATCTTCAGGAAAATAGTTTGCTGGAAATAATCACCCTTCTCCATTGACTTAAATAAGATTCATGAACGGGCCCTGATTGACCTATGACAAGGCAGACTCAGATCCTACAAATTCCCATTCCTTGCCTCAGAAATGAGTAACTGAATTCTTTGTTCCCACTGATCAATCAGAATCAAAGCGCTTGTTAACCCAACTTTGGTTAAGTTTCTGTTTCCCCCAAAATCCCTAAATTGTGCCCCAGCTTCATCCTGAGCCAACATATTGCCCCTCTCTAAGGACCCTTCCCAGAGAATAGGCTGATCTCAACATAAAACATTCTGATTTACCAGTGAGGTCACTTGCACATACCACTTTCTCATACCCAGGTTTTTTTTGTATCTTTGTTTGCTCTCAGTATCTTTAAAAGAAAAAGTTCCCCCCTTATTCTTTGAGATGCTTGCAGATCTTATGCTCAGAGTGCTCTTCCTACTTTAAAAGTTTCCCTCCCTTGGAACTACAATAATTTCTTTTACTTTTCCCCCTTTCTTTCTGAATAAAGCTTCTCTGTATTAAAGTCTACCTGTGGTTTTGATGTGACAGCTGTCTACAGAAAATAATGCAAGGAACACATATGAATTAAAATTTTACAGTAAATATAGTATGGCAAGTAAAAAAGGCAGTTGAAATTATTTTAATGATGTATTTAAATGAAAATATCTGAAATATTGCCATTTCCACATATAATCACATAAAAATTTATTTAATGCAGTCTTTTACATTCTTTTTTTTCATACTAAGTCTTTGAAATTGGGTGAATATTTTATTCATTGGTGCTAAATTTTATAGTTGATCTGTATGTAGGTAAATTCACATGCCCAAATTGTTCAAACATAATAAAAGATTTGAGATTTAAATTAAATAAAATTATACAAAATTTAAAATCCAGATCCTCAGTAGCACCAGCCACATTTTAAATGCTCAGTACCAACACATGGCTCTTGACTACCATATTGGACTATGTAATCCTAAAAGGGAGATTATAGTTGGGGTGATGGACACAGCTGGTAAAATTAGAATACTGTTATTAGTTGTGCTCCAGTCTCCTGGCCACCCCATGTGTGCACAGTAACTGTTCCAGAGTTTCCAAGGCTGAACTTTTCAGAAGCAGATCCCTAGGCAGTCTTCCTGTGGGTGGGTTTGAACCACCAAACTTTTGGCTAATAGTCAAGGTCTTACAGATTGCGATACCCAAACAAATAACCCCCCAAAAAAACAGACATGTCAAATCTATTTTGACTCATAGTGACCCTATAGACAGAGTAGAGCTGCCTCTCTGGTGGCATAGTGGACAAAGGATTTGGCTGTCAGCCAGATCAGCAGTTCAAACCCCCCAGCCGCTCCAGGGAAGGAAGATGAGGCGATCTACTTGCAAAGATTTACAGTCTCCGAAGCCCAATGGAGGGTCACTGTGAGTTGGAATGAACTGGATGGCTCCTTCCAAGGAGTGAAGGAAGATTGGGCAATCTACTTTCATAGTGATACACCGTCGTAAACCCAAGGAAGGGTCGCTATGCGTCGGATCCAACTCCAGGGCAGTGGGTAGCCAAACCCAAGCCCATTGCCATCCAGTGGATCCAGACTCATAGTGATCATATTGGGCTGAGTAGAACTGCCCGTAGGATTTCCAAGGCTGTAAATCTCTAGGAAGCAGACTGCCTCACCATTCTATCGCAGAGCAGCTGGTGGGTTCAAACCGCCAACCTTTCGGCTAGCAGCCGAATCATTTAACTACTACACACCAGAGCCCCTTTTGTGCTACTCAGGAACGCCTAGATTGGAGCATCTCCCCTCCTATTCACACTCCCCCCCAAAAAACAAACAAACAAACAAACAAATTGCCACGCAGTAGATTACAACTCATAGTGAACTTATAGAACAAAGTACTAACCTATAAAGTTTCCAAGGCTGGTGGCGCAGTGTCTAACACATTTGACTGCTAACCAGAAGGCTAGCAGCTCAAACCCACCAGCCACTCCCACCAGCCACTCCTTGAGAGGAAGGTTGGGCAATCTACTTTCGCAGAGATACAGCCTTGGAAACCCAAGGAGGGATTGCTATGAGTCAGGTTGGACTGTGCGGCAGAGTCTGGTTTTGTTTGGTTTAAAGCTTTATGAAAGCAAACTGCCACACCTTTCTCTCAGGGAGCAACAGGTAGGTTTTAACTGTGGTCCTTTTGGTTAACAACCAAGTGGGAAACCACTGCACCACAGGGCTCCCCCTAAATTTGAGTAGATAGATTTAAACGTAAGCATGTAAACTTAGCATTGACTGTGAAAAACCAAAGAACTACACAGGGATCCAGGTGAGGCAAAATGGATTGCAAAATAGACTGAGAGGGACATTAAGAGGGAGTCATCTAAGCAAGCAGATGGGATTTCCTCAAGTAATTACAATAGTTCTCAATTACTGTGTAACATTTGAGCCAAATTTTACCTTTTGATTATCAAAACACCTTTCTGACATAATAATTAACATTTCTATTCAAAAAATGAAGAAACTAAGGTTAAAATAAGAAAACAGCAAATGTCACAAAATAGCTCCTGGACCTCTGACGATGAGATTGTAGGAGTCTGGAGAGTTCAAACAAGGAGCATGTCATGGGCCTAGTTTTAGCAAACACGCCTGCTCATTCACTCATCATGCACAATAGATTTCTGTTCTCTCTTCTCTCCCCAGGACCATTTTATCAATCTCACTATTCTTCCTTGATTTCAAGTGCACAAAAAAGGTTTCTCGGAGAGAAGAGAAGAGATTGCTTTATGTTTCAGATAAGGTGTTCAAAATGAACAGCAATGTATAATTTCGGTTGCCTAGAGTGTGCGAGAATATTAAATCAAATTCGAAAATCAGGTGTTAGCTTAACAGCTATCATCATTTCACATCCTTGATAACAGGATTTTTTTTTTTTTTTGTAATTTTTTTTTTCTTTTTAATGCCGAGAATTCAAGGCATGAGCAGAAAAACGTGGAAACAGTAAGCTTTGCCTCCTATCCACTACAATCTATACACATTCAGAGACCTTTGTACCAAAACCAAACCTTCCACTGCCATGAGTCTTTGTCGACTCACAGTGACACTATGTCGACTCATAGTGACAGAATAGAAATGCCGCATAGGGTTTCCAAAGCTGTAAATCTTAATGAAGACACACTGACTCATCTTTCTCAGGCGGAGTGGCTGGTGGGTTCGTATTGCCAACCTTTGGGTTAGCATCCGAATGTTTTAACCACTGCGCAACCAGAGCTCCCGAGGCTCCCCGTCCCTCCCGCCTGCCTACCACTTCCGCATTTGTAGTTCCCGACAAGGTCCGCAAGGTGGCTATAAATACGCTTCTCGGCTTCCTCCCTACAGGTTAGTCAAGTTTTCATTGTTGTAAGCAATGTCTGGTCGTGGTAAAGGAGGAAAGGGCCTGGGGAAGGGCGGTGCCAAACGCCACCGCAAGGTTTTGCGGGACAACATTCAGGGAATTACTAAGCCCGCCATCAGGCGTCTGGCCCGGCGTGGGGGCGTAAAGCGCATCTCTGGCCTCATATACGAAGAAACCCGGGGGGTGCTGAAGGTTTTCTTGGAGAACGTGATCCGTGACGCAGTCACCTACACAGAACACGCCAAGCGCAAGACTGTTACAGCCATGGACGTAGTCTACGCACTCAAACGTCAGGGACGTACCCTCTACGGTTTCGGTGGCTAAACTTTCGCTAGCACTGCTAAAAGGCCCTTCTCAGGGCCGCCTATCCAGTCAATCGAAAGAGTTAGTCACTTAAACATAGCTTCCCTTTCTTTATTTTCATCTAACCCCATAGTGTGTTTTTTCTGTATAATATTTATTTGCTTCCAAAACAAGTGTTTAGATAGGAATGGTATATGAGTTTTAGCTATGCAATGTTGGAAGTCTTGTAGAGCAAGGGCTTATTGCTCCGGATTTTCTCAGGCCACCGTCTTTAGCCGAAGGAGCGCAGGTGGCGCCTTAGTAAAAAGGCTGCTAATCAGCAGAAGGTCAGTGGTCCGAATCCACTAACCACTCCACGAGAAAAAGATGAAGTCTGCTTCTGTAAGATTTACAGCCTTGGAAACAGTTCTGCCTCATAGGGTGAGTCACAGTGGGAGTTACACCGTGACAGTGGATGTGTATGTGTTGGGGGGCGGGGAGGTAGGTCCTTCCTGAGGCATCGAATTTTGAAAAAATTTAATCTCTGGGTACTTTAGAAGGTGCTCTAGTGGCACAGTGGTTAAAGCGTTCGTCTTCTAACTAAAAGATTCGCGGTTCAAAGCCACTGGCTGCTCCCTGCAGGGAAGACAGATGAAACGGTATGCTTTTTATGAACATTTACAGGCTTGGAAACCTAATGTATGGTCGCTCCGAGTTGGAATGATGGCAGTGGATCTCATTTGGTACTTCAGAGTTTTTGTAAACTAGTTGTGGAATTGACACCGACTTGTGACCCCACATGTCAGAGTGTAACTGTTCCGTAAGGTTTTCAACGACTGATTTTTCAAAGTTAAAAAGCCAGTCCTTTATACCCAAGTCCATTGGTGGACTAGAATGGCCACTCTTGATTGACAGTAGAGTGTTAACTATTTATACCACCCAGGGACTCCAGGGGATTCTTTACCCTCGCATAAATACATTCCAATTAATTCTACATTTTCTGTAGTCCAATCTAATTAAGGATATCATGTTTGGTAAAGTGGAGGAGGATCAGCGAAAAAGCGGAAGACCCTCGTGAGATGAGTAAATGAGTTGACACAGTGGCTGAAAGGATGGGCTCGGGTGTTGCAAGTATTGTGAGGCTGGTGCAGGACCGGATAGTGTTTTTTTCTGTGGTTCATAAGGTCGCTGTGAGTCGGAGCCGACTGGACAGCAGCTAACAACAACAATCTAATAATTATTGTTAAGTACTGTCGAATCTGTTCTAACTCACAACCACTCGTAGTACAGCAGAATGAAACACTGCCAAGTTTTTGCCATTATCACGTTATCAGTGCTGTTTTGAGGCATGGTGGCAGTCGCTGGGTCAATCCATCCTCTTTTTCACTGATGAACATGATGAACATGATGTCCTGCTCCAGGGAATAGTCTCTTGTGATAACATGTCCAAAATATGCCAGAAAAGTTTCACAGTCCTTGCTTAAAAGAAACATTCTGGCTGTACTTCTTCCAAGACAAGTCCGTTTCTTTTTCTGGCAGTCCATGTTTATTCAATATTCTTTGCCAACACCATAATTCAAATGCATCATTTTTTCATTGTTCCTTATTCAATGTTCAGCTTTCACATGTAGTAAGAAGCGATTGAAAATACTATGCTTGTCTGTTGCAGTAGATTTGCCCAATGGAATGTTGTTTGATTTCTTGACTCCTGCTTTCATGGCCGTTGATTGTGGATCCAAATAAAACTAAATTCTTGACAATGTCAATATTTTTCGCTTTATTATAATGTTTCTTATTGTTCCAGTTGTAAAGATTATTGTTTTCTTTATGTTGAGGTGTAATCCATACCGAAGGCTATGTTCTTTGACCTTCATCAGTAAGTGCTTCAAGTCTTCTTTGCTTTCAGCAAGAAGGGTGTTTCATCTGCCAATTGTAGGTTGTTAATGAATCTTCCTCTAATCGTAATGCTGTGTTCTTTGTATAGTCAAGCTTCTCAGATTATTTGCTCAGATTAAGTAAATATGGTGAAGAGACACAAGCCCAACAAATACCTTTCCTGATTTTAAACAGTAACCCTTGTTCTGTTTGAACAACTACCTCTTGCTCTCTGTACAGGTTCTGCATGAGCACAATTAACTGTTCTGGAATTCCCATTCTTTGCAGTATTATCCATAATATTTTATGATCTACACAGTCTAATGCCTTTGCATAGTCAATAAAACACAGGTAAACATCTTTCTTATATTCTCTGCTTTAAGCCAAGCGCCATCTGACAGCAACAATGTCCCTCATTCCACACCTTCTGAATTGACTTGAATTTCTTCTAGCAGTTCCCTGTCTGTGTACTGCTGTAATTGTTTTTGAATCATCTTCAGCAAAACTCACTTGCCTGTCATATTAATGATTCCACATTGGATGATTCCACTGTTGGATCACCTTTCTTTGGAATAGGCACAAACATGGGCCAGTCAGTTGGCCGGGTGCTGTCTTCCAAATTTCTTGGCATAAAGAAGTGAATGCTTGCAGCATCGCATTCATTTGTTGAAACATCTCAACTGGTATTCCATCTTTCTGGAGCCTTGTTTTTGCCAATGCCTTCAGTGCAGCTTGGACTTCTACCCTCAGAATCATGGGTTCTCAATCATATGCCACCCTGAAATGGTTGAATGTTGACCAATTGTTTTTGGTACAGTGACTCCGTGTATTCCTTCTATCCTCTTTTGATACTTCCTATGTCATTCGATATTTTGCCCATAGAATCCATCAATACAGCTTGAATTTTTTCTTCAGTTCTTTCAGCTTGAGAAAAACTGATTTTTTTCCCTTTTGGTTCTCTAAGTACAGGTATTTGCACGTTTCATTAAATACTATACTATGTCTTCTCGAGCCATCTTTTGAAATCTTCTGTTCAGCTGTTTCACTTCATCATTTCTTCCACTTGCTTTAGCTACTCTGTGTTCAAGTTTCAGAGTCTCTTCTGACATCCATTTTGCCTTTTTCTTTCTTTTCTGTTTTTTTAATGACCTTTTGCTGTCTTCATGTATTATGTCCTTGATGTCATCCCACAGGTCATCTGGTTCAGTCATTAGTGTTCAATGCATCACATCTATTCTTGAGGTGGTCTCTAAATTCAGGTTCAATATACTCAAGATTGCACTTTGGCTTTCATGGGCTTACTTTAGTATTTTTCACCTTTAACCTAAAATTGCATATGAGCAATTGGTAGTTTGTTCCATAGTTGATCCTTGGCCTTATTCTGACCGATGATATTGAGCTTCTTTATCATCTTTCCACAGATGTAGTTGAGTTGATTCCTGTATAGTCTATCTGGAAAGATACTTTTTGAGATTGCTATTTGCAATGAATAAGTCATTGGTCTTGCAAAATTCTATCATGCAATCTCCAGCATCATTTCTGTCAAGACATATTTTCCAACTACTGATTTTTCTTCTATTTCCAACATTCTCATTCCTGTTACCAGCAATTATTAATGCATCTTGATTGCATGTTTAATCAGTTTCAGATTGCATAAATAGGTAAGAAATCTTCCATTTCTTCATGATAGTTGTTGGTCCATAAATTTGACTGTTAGTTGTATTAACTGGTATTTCTTGTAGTCTTATGGACATTATCCTATCATTGACAGGATAGTACTTCAGGATAGATCTTAAAATGTTCTCTTTGATGGTGAACATAAATGTCATTTCTCTTTCATCTGTCATTATGGCATAATAGATCATATGATTGTCCAATTCAAAATGGACGATACCAGTCCATTTCAGCTCACCAATGCTTGGAATAATAATCTTTATCATTCCATTTCATTTTTGATGTCTTTCATTTTTCCCTGATTCATACTTTATACACTCCACATTCTGATTATAATGAGGTTTGCAGCAGTTTCTTCTCATTTTGAGTTATGCCATATGAGCAAATGAAGATCCTGAAAGTTTTACTACTTCTACATCATTAAAGTCAACTCTACTTTGAGGCAACAGCTCTTCCTCAGCCATATTTTGAGTGCCTTCCAACCTGAGGGGCTTGTTTTTCTGACATTATATATGACAATGTTCTGATGCTATTCATAAAGTTTTCAATGGTCAATTTTTTTCAGAAGTAGATCACCAAGTCCTTCTTAGTCTGTCTTAATAATTGAAGCTCCACTGAAACCAATCCACCATGGGTACCATCCTGGTATTTGAAATATCAGTGGCATAGCTTCCAGTATCACAGCAACATTCAAGTTCATAACAGTATGAAAACTGACAGACAAGTGGTGGAATCCATTAAAAGATCTAGTGAAGTTACTTCTATTTTTCTACAAGTTAATTTGAATATTCTTAGTGGGAAATAATTTTGGGTAATAAATGATCTGTTACAGAATATTCAACTGTCACATAAGGAAAAGCAAACCTTTAAACAAGTGCTTGCCTTTCAAGTGGGCAGCCTAAGGGAACAAGAAGAAAGAAAAGCTCAGATTGGTCTGTAGAAAATGAAGGCATCTATGAGCAGGCCTCCATGGCACATGGGGGTTATTTTCTCTCCCTCTCCCTTAAAGCACTAATAGTGGGACAATGTAAACTGACAAACATTTTTTTAACCCGTAAGAAATTAGGAATTTGTCTAGTCTTGTCACATCTGATCTCATATTCCATAATCAAGGCACAGATTTAATACATTTATTTCTCAAATTTGGTTTCTTTACTCAGTTATAAGTCCAGTTTTCTGCACAGACACAGAGGCCTGTCCTGGAACTCAGCCACATTGAGGATTTTCTTATGTGTCAGTACTTGCAAAGAAAACAAACCAAAACGCTCCAAAGTAAGGACCAGACAAGTCATTTTCTGCATCTTGGCTTCTACATAAGATCACTGGGAGCAGCCCATCTAAAGGCAGGTTCAGGTGCTTGCCCTATCCCTTACCTCTAACAAAGTTTCCTCACTGAAGGTTAATGAACCAATGGGGGTACGCTGGGGGAATGCAGTTACATAACTTAACTTTCTTTTTGTTCTTAGATATCTTTTCTTTTTTCCAGATTGATGGCCACTCTTAAGGTGGTCCCCATTATTCGTACCTCCTGGTTTTCACCATTATGCGATCCTAGCTCCTTGAGTGTGGACAGCACCTATAACTTGCTCCTAACCCATAAAATACAGCAAAGATGACAGCATATCAATGATTTTGTGTATATGATTATATTACCTTAGATTATAGTCCCTGTTTTGCCTAATTTAATTCTTGGAAGCTCTGGTGGTGTAGTGCCTAAGGCATCTGTCTACTAACCAGAAGGCTGGCCGTTCAAGCCCACCAGCCACTCCTCAGAAAGAAGATTGGCCAATCTACTTCCATAGTGATACTGCCTCAGAAACCCAAGGAGGGGTCACTATAAGGCGGATCCGACTTGACAGCAATGAGTTTCAGTTTTTTTTTGTTGTTGTTTTTTAATGGCCTTTGACGAGATGCTGGTGTCAGTGTGCATCTGTACCAGCACTTTATAGACATATATGGAATAGCTCTCCTGGTGGCCTTCTTTATGTTTCTTGCTATCTTTCTTCTGTGCCTTGGTAACCACCTTTTTGGAACACTTTAAGGGGCTGGAGTGCACTTGGCAGGTCCTGGCATTGTGAAAAATCACAGTAAGAGAAATTTCAAAAGAAAAAAACTCAAGTATTTGTATTGCATATATGGAAATGAGAACTTGCAAATGTAGGCATCAATTTCTCAAAATTAGGCAATAGCAGCCACTCCACGGAAGGAAAGTTGGGTAATCTACTTCCATAGTGATACCGCCTTGGAAACCCAAGGAGGCATCACTATGAGTGGGGTCCGACTGGATGGCACTTAACAACAACAAACATGTAAATGAGTAATTCCAAAACAGCTTGCTTGCTTTCTTTTTTTTTTTGCTAGAAACTGAACATCTTGGAGCATATCCCATAGGTTGATCTATAATATTTTTGATACTTGCATAACTAAGAAAATCTTTAAAACCTTATCTAATTAAAAATAATTAGGAACTGACTTATTTGAAAGCAAAAAGAAAGAAACAAATCCATTGAGTTTTTTACTGGAAATTGTTTGGGTCTCTTTCGTCAAAATTGAGTTGCTGAACCACTATGCTATTTTAATAAATATTCTTATAGAACTCTCCATCACCTGCCATCTTCTCCAGGTTCCCACACTGTAAAAGTTCTCTGGACACTAAACCATGAAAGTGGCCTAGCAAGGGCCGGCATCAACCAGTGTGGAACTCATGACACAACACCCCGCCACCACCCACCCCAGGGACCTCCTCCCCTCTGAAAGCATACTTCATTCTTAACAAAAGTTATTGAAATAGATTCACAAATACTACTCACCACAATATTGCAACTAAAGTCCCCAACAATTTGACAGCATCAGCAATGGAAAACAACAGCATCTGCTGTAGGTATATTGATACATGTAAATTAGGCTTCAGATAAATGTTTTTGTTATTATAACTAACTACAAGGATACTTTTATAAAAAATAAGAATTTTTTACCGAAACAATGCACAAACATTTTTAAATAGTCATTTTGGAGTCACCCCCTCAAATAATGTCAAACGGCGGTCCGCACCCCCTGCACCACCGTAGTGACACCATTGAACAATAGGCAGACATTCTCCAAAGCAACAAAAAATAAAAGGAATAATAGTGTTAATTTATGAAACCTGATAACGAGCTTGGGATTCCAGGTTATTGGAATTTTGCTGTGTGTTCTGGTGTCGCAGTAATTAAGGCATTCAGCTGCTAACCAAAAGGTCCACTATGTGAACGCACCAGCCATTCTTCCGGAGAAAGATGAGGCAATCTGTTTCTGTTAAATTTAAACGAAACAAACCAAACTCACTGCCGTCGAGTTGAATCCAACTCTTGGAGGTAGATAGCCCAATCGTCCTTAAATGAGTGGCTGGTGGGTTTGAACCGCCAACCTTCTGGTTAACAGTCAAATGCCTTAGGCACTATGCCACCAGAACTCCCTCTATAAAGTTTACAACCCTGGAAACCCTGTGGGGCAATTCTACTCTGTCCTTTAGGATTGCTCTGAGTAAGAATCCACCTGATGGAAATGGGTGGGTATCCTGAACAGTAGATCCTGGAAGATCAGTATTGCGCGAATCAGATACAGAACTACAGATGTAAAGAAAGCGGAATTCATAACAAGGTGCTTTGACAATGGAATTTCCAAATAGTGGAATGAGGAGAGAAAAGATCCAGATGAGAACGAGTTCATTAAGCAGCTAAAAAAGGGCGGGTGATTTTGAAAAGTAAAACTCTAAAGATCTTTCTCTATAGCACACTATTTCGTATATCCAAACAAGAGAAAGTTACAAGGCTATTAGATTAAAATGAATTGATACATTTTTGGATCATGATATTGTGTGTGAAGTGTTAACAAAGAAACCAGTGACTACACAATTATTTTCAAACGGGGTTAGGGGTGTGTTCTTAACGTTAACGAATCGAAAACTGCACTCAAGGAATAAACCAATCGTAAACTGCCTACAGACTTCCGGAAGTTAGCAACCGAAGGCAAACAAGAATTTGCCCCAAACCCAATCAGAGAGCTTCTGTTCCTGTATAAATAGAGGAGAAAGGGTAGCGTTCAAATACGTTTATTTTGGAGCTAAAGTATGGCTCGCACGAAGCAGACTGCGCGGAAGTCTACCGGCGGCAAGGCCCCGCGCAAGCAGCTAGCTACTAAGGCCGCCCGTAAGAGCGCGCCAGCCACAGGCGGCGTGAAGAAGCCTCATCGCTACCGCCCAGGCACCGTTGCGCTGCGAGAGATCCGGCGCTACCAGAAATCGACAGAGCTGCTGATCCGCAAGCTGCCGTTCCAGCGGCTGGTGCGCGAGATCGCGCAGGACTTCAAAACGGACCTGCGCTTTCAGAGCTCGGCTGTGATGGCCCTGCAGGAGGCGTGCGAGGCCTACCTGGTGGGCCTCTTCGAGGACACCAATCTGTGCGCCATCCACGCCAAGCGCGTGACCATCATGCCCAAGGACATCCAGTTGGCCCGCCGCATACGCGGAGAGAGGGCGTAAGTTGTCTTCCCAAGTGAGTAACCTTGAACCCAAAGGCTCTTTTAAGAGCCAACCATCTTTTCTGTGAAAGACGCTGTGATCATTAGCGGAAAAGCTCAGTAAATCCCTTAAAATCATCTTAAAGGCGCTGAATTAGAAAGCCTTGGGGGCAATCTTTGAATTTAGCTTTAATGAAATAATGTGGCACAAAAAAAAGGAAACCATAAGGTAACTAAACGTGGTTTACGCCCTGCTTTTTTAGACTAGTAGCGTTTGGTTTGTCGCATTGGTATATCTGCTTTGGAGCCTTTTGAGGTAATTTAACCGTTTTTGATTCCTTGGCTCTCGCAGCTCTCCAGACTACTTAGCCTTCGCGGTCTAACCGCTTTTATTTGGTATGATCTATCCTACCTTTTTTGTCTTGTCTGTGCTAGATTTCTGGAGCCAGCCAAGAGCTGGAAAGAGCCCCAGGCCCCCGCGACTTCCGTCTTTTTTTTTTTTTTTTTTTGTCTACCTTTGCTTGCCAGACTTGCGCCCTCCAGCTCCTACCTTCAACGAGGATGTACCTCCACGCCAACACTTAGGTCTCAGATACTTAAGGACCTGTGGTCTGAGAACTTGGCGGCCTCATTTATCTGGTTTTTATTTTTTTTAGTTGGTTGATTTTTGTTTGTCTTTTTGCGTTTTACTTAAATACAATTTATGTACAGTGAAATACACAAAACTAAAGTGACATGGGTCAATGCGGTTTTTTATTTTATTTTATTTTTTTTCCTGCAGTGTTCCCTCCCCTCCCACCCCTGGCAACCAACAATGAAAGTTTCCCTCCATATATAAATCTTTCCTTGACCCTCCACAACAACGAACTAATAATACTATATTTGTCCTTCTGTGATCGACTTATTTCACTCAGCATAATGTCCTCCACGTTCATCCATCTTATGCGGTGTTTTGCAGATTCTACATTATTCTTTAGTGCTACATAGCATTCCAGTATGTGTATGTACCATAGTTTGGTCAACAACTCTTCCACTGATGGGCACGTAGGTTGTTTCCATCTTTTTGCCATTGTAAATAGTACTGCAATGGACATGAGTGTCCATATATCTGTTCCTGTCCTGGCTCTCACCTCTCTAGATTGTATACCTAGTAATAGGATTGCTGAGTCAAATGGTATCTCCAATTCCAGCTTTGTAAGGAATTGCCATATTGCTTTCCACAGTGGTTGTGTCACTTCACAGTCCCACCAGCAGTGTATGAGAGTCCCAATCTCTCCATATCCCCACCAGTATTTGTTATTTTCTGTCTTGTTGAACCTTGCCATCAGTGCTGAGGTGAGACGGTATCATTGTGGCTTTCATCTGCATCTCCCTGATGGCCAATGATTGTGAGCATCTTTTCATGTATTAGCTGGCCACCTGAATATCCTCCTTGGTTTTCTGCCCATTTTTCAATTGGATTGTTAATTCCTTTGGTGTTGAGGCGTTGGAGTTTTCTATAAATCTTAGAGATAAGTCCCTTGCCAGATATGTAATTATCGGCAAATAGGAATTTGTTGCTGTCATTTTTGTTATGTGCTTTTGCATGTGTCAATTTCTTTGTTCCTTATAATTTTCTATGCTGAGCTCCTTTTGTTTATGAATCGTGTTATCACTTTCTTTGTTGCTATTGTTTTAGTATTTGCTAGGTATTTGTGCTGGTCTTCTTTTTTATTTTGATGTGAAGGTTTATCATTTTTCTTTGAGGTTACCCTGTGATTTCGTTTTCTTCCCAAGTTTAGAACAGTCCGTTCTATCTTGTAGTTGTCTTGACTTCCCTACCATCTAGAAGCTCTGTAGCGACACAGTTTTTTCCCTCTTTTTCGTTTGTAGTTGTCCTCATTTTGCAATTAATGTCTCTGGTTCCCTGTTGACAATCTTGTAAGCTTCTTTACTTTGGATACTTCCATAGCTAGGTTGGTTTCTGGGTTACATCATCATGTGTGTTAATGGTCAGTTGTTGTTGGCTACTGTTGCTTCTCTGTCCAAAGGACTCCCTTTAGGATCTCTTGTATGGTTGGTCTGGTTTTAACAAATTCCCTTAATTTCTGCTTATCTGGAAATGTCCTAATTTCACCATTATATTTGACAGACAGTTTTGCTGGATACATAATTCTTGGTTGGAAATTTTTCTCTTTCTGGGATTTATATATACCATCCCATTATCTTCTCGCCTGCATGGTTTCTGCTGAGAAATCCGAGCTTAGTCTTATTGGTTGCCCCTTGTAGGTCACTTTTTGTTTTTCCTGTGCTGTTCTCATGATTCTTGGTTTTGGTGAGTTTGATGATGATGTGTCTTGTTCTTTTGGGGTCTATCCTGTTTGGGGTTTATTGGACTTCCTGAATGGCTATATTCTCGTCTTTCTTCATATCAGGGAAGTTTTCTTCCAACAAATCTTGGACAATTATCTCAGTGGTTTTATTTTTCTCTTCCTGTTCTGGAATTCCAATGACACATAGGTTATTCCTTTTGATGGTATCCCACATGAACCTTAGGCTTTCTTCATTTTGTTTTGATCTTTTTTCTGATTGATCCCTTTCTAAAGAAGTAGTCAGGTATTTGCCTTCAATCTCATTAATTCTGTCTTCCATTTCATCAATTCTACTCCTTTGCTGTTTCAATGTGTTATCTCTTTCTGATAATTTAGTGTTAATCTTCTAGATTAATCATTTCTAATTTTTCATTTATTTTGTCATTTTGTTATTGTATTTTCTTCAAAAATTCTTCTAGGGTTTTGTCTTTGTTTTTCTTTATCTGTCTCTCAATCCTTTGCAGGTACCTAAATATAATTCTTTTGAATTCCTTATCAGGGAGTTCCAATGCTACATCTTCCTCAAGGATATGTTTTCAGTCTGTATCCTGGTTCCTTGTTTCTCCTGCTTTATCTTGTTTCTTTGTGTGGACTGTAATGCTCTGTTGTCTCCAATACATTGGAACATTTTTGTGTTTATATTTAATTGGTGATTGTATGTTGGAGTAAGTTGTCCACGATTTTTGTTTTCTTTATTTTGTTTGTACATTATCTATGCAAGCAGGTTACTGTGCTGTGCTCCTCTATTCACTAGCTGACAGCACTTTACACTTACCACCTGTCTCCTTTCCTGTTGTCAGCCTCTTGTACGTCCCTGCCAACCTTGGCAAACAGAGCCTATTCTTAGGTCCCTGGAATCTGAATGAGAATTCTATCACTTTAAAATCCAAAGTGGTGCCACTTGTAAAAGATTCAAAATGGCTGTGCCCTCGGTGACTTTAAATATCCAAAAGGCTGCTGCTTGTAAACAATCGAAATGGCTGCGCCCTCCAGGCAGCGTAAACTCAACAGCTCAAGTTGTCTCCCTCATAGCTGTTTCCCTTCCTAGTGATAGGCCACCCGCGCAGTCCTCCCTGCAGCCCTTGTTGACCAGGGCTGATTTTAGGTCAATTCTCAGGTCCCAACACCACTTGGAAATATTCAGGCTGTTGGTCCCGTCAGAGTAGCTGACAGTCTGCAGCTTCGACCATCTCTGTACTCACTGTTTTCACTCAGATTCTTCCACTAGGTGGTGCCTAATCCACTTCTGTATAGCTCCTTTCAAAGCGCAGGGCTCCAGGATTATCTTGTGTCTCTGTCAACTGGTTTTTCTTTTCGTTGTTGAAGAGAGTCTGTGTTTCTGGTCTGCCTATTCCAACATCTTACCAGAAGTCCTGGTTTTTGTTTTTGCAAGAGCCCCAGTGGCACAGTGGTTAAGTGCTGAGCTGCTAACTTAAGGCCAACCCTCCAGCATCTCTAGAAAGATAGGACAGTTCCATAAAAAATACACAGCCTTGGAAACCCTATAAGGCAGTTTTACTCTGTTCTACAGGGTCACTGGTGACTGGAATGCAAAAGTTGGAAACAAAGAAGAATCACTGGTAGTTGGAAAATTTGGCCTTGGTGACAGAAATAATGCTGGAACTCGT